TTTTATTTAATAAAATTACAGAAGTATTTATTTTGTAATTTTAAAAAGAAGAATTAAGAGATACAGCTAAGAGTTAAATATAGGTTATTCCAAATAGAAAACTGTTTTGTCCTTAAATAGTTTGAGAACATAGTGTTATTAAATTCCTCATTGGAGCTAGTACAAACCCCTTGGAAGGAATCTGAATATATATATATATTATATATATTATATATATATATATATATATATATATATATATATATATATATATACTGATCACTGATTTGACAGATCTAAAAATTTAATATTAATTTTTATGTTTTATGCCAGTTTTCATTTTGGGATTTCTTTCTTGTGTGTTTTAACTAAATAATAACCATACCCCTGAAGATAGTATCCCTTCAGAGCTTGTAGAAATTATTTTGCGCTCTTCAATAGTAAATATTTTCCCTATATTCCTTAAGTTTTCATAAATATGTATAAAAATAGCTTGTTATTGTATAAATATCTTCAACTTTGTATGTTCCATTGATTACTTTTCTTACTGGTTACATTGGTTGCAGTTTCTTATGACCTGCGCTTTTGAAGTCCGTCCCACAATTCTGAAAGAGTGTATTAAATTTTTGCTAATTGAATGAATGAACTCTGTTTTTATGTTTTAAAATTTGAATTTTTATTTGTATAACAGATCAGGCATGAGAATAAAATATACACCTTTTTTCCCTCGAGAGAGTGGTTGAAAGACGCGAGCATTTCAATTAAAATTTTTAAATTAGACCTAGATCATCTTCTAGGGATCGAAAGTACTTGAGCAAGATTAAATTAATACTGCGCTCGATATTTGCCTTTTATATTATCCAAGTTCATTTATTCGAGCATTCAACCTTATATTAAAATAATTGCGTTAAATCACTCTACCAAGCCAACCAATAGCTCTTCCGATTATTTTGTTCCTATACCGCATGTGTTTTTCAGATAAAAGTCACGCGTTTGGTGGCGCATTAATTCAAAATGGCGGATGTAATCCATCTTGTAAAATTATTTTAAATGGTAAATAATACCGCATTTGAAAACTTTTCATTTAGTAAATTCCTCGATTTTTATGAGATTCTGTTGCGCCGTTTTAAAATGACAACTGTTCAATATTCCGTATCAGCAATGTGGAATAAATTGGGGATTTTTCCTAATAATTTGGTGGTCTAGCTTATATAGAAAACTCTAAAAGATTAATTTATTTTTGCTGTTTCCCGCATTCTAATAAATTTGATTTATGTCTGTCATTTTTCTTAAATAATATACGTAATACAAACATAATTTCAAAGATTTCGTATTTTTTACTCAGTATGTTCTTAGGAACAAAAGATAGTCATCCTTATTCTTTCACATTAAGTCATTTAAAATTAATTTTCACAATATTAAAATTGCGTTGTACTTTTAGAGATGTCCATAAAATGAATTCTATTAAAATATGTGAAAATTGGAAAAAAAAATCGACAGATTCGAGTGTTTTCCATATGAAGTGTATACTACGAGCCCTAACAACTATTTGTTGGAACAAGCAGTTATTTTGCGAATATAACGCCAATTTACCGAAATTCTTTTATTTAATTTTTTTTTAATGATAAATATGAAATTAACATTTTTTTTTATATATGGAATTATATTTGCGGCTTAATTATATATTTTATATTGACTACTATGTAATTAATTGTTTGATAATCGAAAACTGCTGACAACTAACTATTGGAACATTTTTTGCTTTTCCTCACGTTTCTTAAATTTTATCAGCCTGATACAACGATTGCTTTGAAATCAAACATACGAGTAGTTAGTGCGTTATCAACAATAATTGCCATGGATCATTTGAGTATGAATGAAGACAACTGTCAGTTTTATTATGAGTAAAATATAATAACGAAAACGTGGAAACCCTACTGATCTGAAAGTTCGAGAAATTATTATTCCTCAGTACCACGAAGGGAAAACAATGCGTGAACTTTCCAGTGAATTAACTGTAGCAACAACTGCGGGTGTTTAATATAATTATTAAATATGGTAAAACTGCCATTATTGATGTTTGCTGCCCCTCCAAATGCTGTTTCTCAAAGGAGTGTTAAGCATTTAATTCGAATATGTAAGTCGGGAAGGCGAAATACACTACGAGAAGTAATCGATAGAAGGAATAGGGAAACTGGGATGAATGTTTCTAGAGAATCCTGTTGTAAATATATCCACAAAAGCTGTCTTAGTTTTTATAAGGTACCTATGTTTGATAAGTTCTTTTTTGTGATATAAATATTCTATTTTTTGATCTATACATAACTAAAACATAACTGGGACAAAGTTATCTATAGCGACGAAAGCAAATTTGATGTCTGTGTCATCAAGAGATTGTCGAAACCTTATGATTCGCAAAAAGTGTAATTCGAGAAGCATTCCACAATGATAAGAACTATAAAGTTTCCACAGGGCATAATGGTGAGGTTCTATGTCGGCCAAAGAGTTGGGAACATTATATTTTATTGAGGCCATAGTAAACGTAGCTAAATATTAATATATCCTTGAATATTCGTTTCTACCAAGTGCGGCAAAGTTATATCCATCCGAAGACTTTATCTTTCAGCAGGACTGAGCCTCATGCCACACGGCTAAATCTACCAAATATGGATGGGATAACATGACATTAAAGTTTTGTCACCTCCTTCTAGCAGCCCGAATCTTAATCCAATAGAAATACTGTGACACAAAATGAAACAACGCCTAAGAAATAACCCTCAGCGTGCTTTGCCACAACTACGTGTTAAATTACAAGAAATATGGGATAGTTTCAACCTTGAATTATGTGAAGGCTTAGTTGAGACAATCCCTAATAGAGTTGAGGCTGTTATTCAAGCTAAGGACAACTTTACGCCTTATTAGTAATTATTTAATATATTAAAATCCTTTTGTTCCAATATTTAGTTGTCAGCATTTTTTGGCTATCAAACAATTAATTAAATAGTAATCAACATAAAATACATAATTAAACTAAAAATAATTCTATATATCATAAACAATGTTGTTAATTTCATATTTACAATGAAAAAAAACTAAAATAAAAAAATGTAAAATAACTGCTTGTTCAACATATAGTTGTTAGGGCTCATATGAAGTTTTTGGGGGTAATTCATACATTCTCTTTTACACTGTCACGTATGAACATTGAACTGTCATCCTTTTTAAAACTTTTCTACAGGATCGCACAAAAATCTAGAAACATAAATGATAAGAACTTTTAAATGAGTAACTGTCATTTAAAAAAAAATGTCAATGATGTCATTTTTGGCATGCCAATAAATAATCCAATGCATTCTAACAAATGAACTCTTATAAGTATGTGGGGAACTCGAAGAATAAATTAATGTCCATCGCCATGTTGGAAATTTCGACAGAATCGCACAATAGGCAATTACAAGTATAAATAGTATATTATACTACAATTATTTTCTATTTTCCACTACATATAAAGGTCAAGATAAAATGAAATTTGTCAAGACATGGGACTGAAAATCAAACATTCTAATTAAATTTTTTGCAATATTTTTACATGTGTGATTAATATTTTCTGCCATTATCTATAATCGAAAGTCTGTATATTGTAGTATTATTTGTAATAACTAGATGTTTTATTAACTTATTAAATATAAAATTAAAATTACATCGTAATGTACAATTTTTATCAAAACTATTCTTTAATTTTCAATTTACATTGAAAATAATTTAAAAAACGGTATGTTTTTATATTTAAGTACAATCTGAAAGGTCTGTTATTTGTTGACAACATGTTGAAACCTGTATTTAGAATGGCTGGTAGTTTTATTGTTTTATACAATTGGTATTCTATTTTAGAAATAAGTTTAATGATTTATGTACAAATATATAAAAACTTATATATTAATAATTTGTATAGATAGATATCTATTATTCAATTTTATTTTTTGTATATTGTATATAATGTATGTATGATTAGTGTAAACCAAAATTTCGTCTACACATTTCTTAGGAAGACTTAAGTTCCATTTTTGTTCCAAACTATTAAATCCTAGTACTTATTTTTATTATACAGCGACGACAGCAAGCGGTAAGGAGAGACCGATTGTCACACAGATAGAAGAGGAGTTCGCTACGAAACAAGAACAACAATTGTGCGTTCATAGAAGAATCAGTGTGAGCCACGCCCTGAAAGCTTCCTTGGCATTATACAAACACGACTATACAGAAAGCTAGATGAACCCATCATCGGAGGGCACAGCTCGGCACTTTGCTCTGTACTCTCTCCCTCAATATCCATATCTCATTAAGGATTCTGAGGTGCTGAGTATTCTCGGCTTTACTTTGAGTAGCAAAAACATAGACTCTCACAGACACCTCATAGACCAGGGAAATAATATTTTTTTCATTAGACTGACCCGGTCAGCAAATAATTAAAATTTTGTTCTTCTTTTTAATATTGAAATGAAGTACTACTTAAATACAATATTAAATAATTATAACCCACACATTCTCCGAGTTATTACCATTTCCACCCACTGATTTTTGTGGATGTGTGCAAAGCAACAATGGTTTTGATCTTTTACAAGATCAATTGAAAGTTGAAGATTAATTGAAATTTGCAGATCAACTATTATAATAGATAATAGTACCATCGGTATATAAACTCATTATTTTGCTAAAATTGTTAGTTGTTTTAAATAAAATATTACGTATCTAAAATAAAATACCAAATGTTCTTTATTTTTTAAGTTTTTATTTTAAAAAAGTTGGAGCAATCATGTAGATGATCAAGTAGATGCTGATTTTAATTAAACCGTAGTTTAATGATTGTAAAAAAGTTTATTTTTCTCCACCTTTTTTCCTGGAATATATATTGTGTCATATCTATATATTTTATGGAAGCATGCTCATAAAAAGACTTTAACCTATCAAACATATTTTCAACTGTTGAACAGAAAATAAGATTATCAAAATCAATATTGCAGTCATGCCTCCGCAAGGACCTCCGCAAGGTCCACCACACGGACCCGTTGGACCTCCGCACGGCCCACCATTGGGTCCAGCAAATGTTCCGCCTCATGGACCACCTCATGGATATGGTCCACCTGCAGCAATGCCACAGCCACCATACGGTGGCCCTCCTCCAGACCACCGTGCTGAGATTCCTCAGTTAACAGAACAAGAATTTGAGGATATAATGTCTCGGAATAGAACAGTTTCCAGCTCTGCGATTGGGCGTGCCGTATCCGATGCCGCAGCTGGAGAGTTTGCAAGCGCTATTGAGACTTTGGTCACTGCTATTTCACTCATTAAACAGTCCAAAGTGGCTAACGACGACCGTTTGCAAGATCCTTATAAGTTCACTGCAAGACACTTTGCGTGGTGTCGAAGACAAAAGCTACAGCTCCAGCCGCAGAGACAGGTCAAGATCCAGAGACAGATCAACAGCAAAGAGAACTAGAAGGGAACGGGATTTTCACCCCCCCACATCAAAGGTACAGAGACAGAAGCCGAGAAAGGGAGCGTGAACGCGATAGAGATCGTGATCGTGAACGTGACAGATATTATGATAGAGACAGCGAAAGAGAAAGAGACCGAGATCGTTCAAGAAGCAGAGAAAGAGCCGAACGGGATAGAGAACGAGATTATAGAGATCGGGAACCTGAAGAGACGTAAGTATATTTTTATATGTGATAAAAATTATCGTTTTTAGTTGAAAAATCTAAAGAACTACTTTGTTCTAATTTGCATAAACTGTATAACCAAATACCAATACTCTAATAATGTCCTAATACAATCTTTTTGAGAGCATCTTCAAATTCGGACTGCTCAACAGACACACCAAAATTTTTTTATGACGAGGCTCCCTGCAACGTTTATTTATGTTTGCGTATTTAGGTTTCAGTGTATGAAAAAAAAATAAATTACAATGTTCTGAAGCTATTTCTTGGTACCCTTTATCTTTTTTCATTAATATACGAGGTTTATTCCCAAAGTGTCTGATTTTGTTTATAACTTAGCAATGCTCTATTCTTCATCATCCTCCTCGTGACATCATTTTAAACTAGTCCCTATTCCGAAAAAACTGACTCCATCGGTCCAAGTTTCTCAAATTCAGTTTTTGTAATGTCCTTCGGTACAATCGTCGCATTCGTCGAGTCTTTTATATCGTCAAAAAGCGGTATTTTATGTTTTGGAAATACAAAAAGTTCTAGGGTACTATTTTGATAATGTAGTTGTGTAACTTTGTGTTTTGTCAAGAACTGTTGCACAAAGTTTGGTGAATAGGTTCTCATATTGTGATAAGATAACAGTCTCCGCACAACCAAAAATACTATTGTTTTCTATTTCAACATCGTCCATGCTGCAAAATTTGGAGTGGAATATTTCTGATCTGAAAATTCGTCAGCATTTTAGAAAAACTTACGCACCAATCTTTAGGTAAATGGTCTTGAACGTGTTTTGTATAGGTTCGATAAAGATTTCTTCTAGTAGTTTGATTATTTCCCCCCTGTATTTATCAGGACCTGGATCTTTAAAAAAAAAAAAAAAAAAAAATTTATTATTCTTTGGATCGCACTTATCTTTTCTTCTATTTGAATTTTTTTCTGCGATAATAGGTTGCTGCCATACAATTCTCCTATATATTTCTTACGTTTTTGAACCTTTTCTTCGGTTTCCTATTTGTGTTATCTTCTTTCTAGTATTGTTATTGAATATAGTATGTTTTTGAATAACCCGACTATTTCTTTAGTTTCCGTCATCCATGGTTTATTGCCGAGATTTGTTGTGTTTGTTAATAGTTCGATTGTAGTTAAGGTAATCTTATTTTTATGCCCTTCCATCCAACCTAATTCAGATCGTCACTCATTTACTTCGTTTTTTTTACATTACTTTGAAACTTGAGTAGTACGTCTTTTTACTTTTCCTTGTATCGGATTGTTTTTAAGCAGTTGTATGTGGGTGTATTATTATTAATAAATGCTTAATATTCTTCTTATTTAGTCTCATTTTCATGTCTTTCAAGTATTTACTAATTTGGTTGCATTTCTGGATCGCTTTCTAATGTGTTATCACCCGGTATATGTTTTGTTCCTGTTTTTTCGTATTTATAAAAGCTTTTTATATCTATATAAAATTCATCTATTTGTTCTTCTTTATTCGTCGATGTTTAGTCTTAAATTTTATTTACGGTCTACTCTTATGGCACAAATCGCGCAACTGGCTATTCCAAACATCACGTCACTATGATACCTCGTCCCGATTTTGCCCGCTGTCCTTTCCAGTCAAGAAAATCGCAGAATCAGATGCCTGACCATTTGACTTCAGTGCGTCCCAAGAATGTTTAATTGCATTCGTGGTATTTCTTGTACCACTTTCTTTTCTTGTCTTGTAACACTTTTTCCTCATTGGAACATACTTTGTACATCCTAAGTATCGATTTTTAAGTTGTATGCGGCGAAGACGTATGTGTAATTGCCATGCTTGTCATAGTAAGCAATTATCATTAGCTTCAGAATATTTAATTGACAACTTTCTTAAACATCATAGTTTAAAATAATATCTTATTTGCTCATCGCAAAAACGCAATTCAGCAGAATTAAAGAACGCAAGCAGGAACAGTTTTATATAAATAGACTATAAAAAAGTACAAATAAAAAATATATTTTTTGTATCTATTAAATTTAAATAACCGCAATCACTTTAAAAGATACCTATGAGTACCATAAGTTTGAAGTTATTTTTCTTTTCAACCGTTGACAGAATTTCTAGGATTTTTATTTCACATATAGGTAAACTTTAAGGAAGTATTGTACCATTAGTGCGTTCAGACGACCTCAGCGGTTTATTTTAAGCACAAAGCAGCTGGGATCCAGCAGACAATAACTTCTTAACTCATTTGTCAACATTTCATTTCATGTTTTCACATTTCGACGAAGCTAACCTAATATATACAATATTTACGTAAACACTTCTATAAATAAATATTCCCGTTCAGTAAACAAACTTTACATTTATTATTCCATTGTAAACCAATTTTTTAGATCAATCGAAATTTTTAATTAAAAACTATTATAAAATTAAAACTCATTGCGTACCACGCATGCTCAAGCAACCGCTGAGTTCATCTAGTGGAAATAAAGTAAACGACCGTATATCATTTTTCGGATGGGAGAAAAAACTATTAAATATTCAATTTTGTAATAATGGACACCGGGAAAGGAATAAAAGTATGTGGTCAACGAATGTAGTTACCCTGTGTCGTAATTTGACTAAAGTGGTCGACGTGAAGTGGTACAGAAATTAAAAACCAAGTGAAGGCAAATAGGTATGATCTGGTTAAAAACCAATGCAACCAGAAGTAGAAAACGCAACCATCTTGGAATGATCATACCACATATGCAACTATCGGCAGGAAAATTCCCATGCATAAAGAAAGTTATGACACAAACACAGGACACACTATAAAAGAAAAAGATAGATTGTGGGACTTGACACAAGAGAGGACATTTCAGGTTGAACCATTTAATTATCAATGTAAATAATAGTGATCGTCGATTAGCTCTCTTCATCAGCCGAACCAGTACGTCTTCAAACAATGATAAATATATTTGACTTCCTGTGTAGGTCCGAACCGTTTAGTCAAGATTAATTTTCGTATGTAAGTTTAGTTTGTTTAAACCTAGTTTTTCAAACTAAAATATGTTTTGCACCAATATACTTTGCTCTTAAAAAAAAAATTAATACTTTTTGTAATATATTAGGTATATTCTATTCGAATATATTTTAATTTAAATAAAATAATATAAGATATATCTATATATATATATATATATATATAGTATATATATAAGTGTGTGTGTGGTGTGTGTTGTGTGTGGGTGAGTGAGTGTATATGAATTCACTAAAATTAAATGTTCCACTTCATGTAATTTGGCAAGTTCAGAATTGGATTTTCCTAATTAAACGAAAATAAGTATATTTAAAATAAAAGTAAATTGGGAAATGAAAAGGAAACCTTTCATTGAAATAACAGCAGGGTAATACTCTCTGTACGCTGCGATTTATGATAATTAATCTTTGTAACAACGACCAAAAATGTCATTAAAAAATTTTATAGTTTGTCATTAAAAATTGTCATTGGAAAGTTTCCATTTTTTCTAGTATGTTTTGTACACAATTAAGGAATTTGAAAGTGAGTATTTTGAGAAGTGTTTTTTGTGTGTTAAGAATATTCACTTTCAAAAGTTAAAATATAAGAGTCTCATATCATATGTAATATTAAGATTCATTTTTAAAATTCACCATACAACAGTATGAACACTTAAGCTAACTGAAATGCCTGTTATTTAACGTACTTTAAATGAATTCTATATATACAAGAATAGTTTAGTATAAATATAATATACATAAACAATTGAATGTTATTTACATACATTATATTTAGATACACTTCAACAAATACACAACAATCATAATGAATAATTTTGCTGCATGTCAATGATTAAATTATCATTGCTAGAAATATGTATCCTCACAAACTGGCAACTGTCCTCTTATCGCATTCAACACAGTTTCGGAGAATTTTACTCACCTACAAATTTGATTCATGCAATTGTAGTAAATTTAACAGGGGCTTGCGCTGAAGGCATCTGAACACTACCAGTCAGTTGTCCAGCCGCTGAGGTAGTCTGAACGCACCCAATGTTTTTCAGGAATGTCAATGTCAACGTCAACGTTACCCATATACGGTGCCAAAAATAAAGATTGCATTTATCATACTTAATTTGCCACCAACTCGTGGGGAATAATATAAACACAACCCCAATAAAACAAACAAAAAAAATAACGGTCGATTTATATTGAAATATTATTCAAATTTAAGGAATATAAGCTGGTAGTTACAAATGTACATAGTTTTAGGAACAGGCAATAGAGGTTAGCATTAGTGCAATAATAGATTCTGATTGTAAGAATAAATTTATACAAAATCAAGAGGACCAGAAAGAGGAAGAGTTACAACAACACCACGCTAACTGATCAGTATTGTCAGGCACTTGCTATAAAGAGCACGTTTATGTTAACAATAAGAACATTAACAAATACAAGTGGCATCTCGCTGAAGATATTGCATGTAAGCATCATTTTGCAAAGGAGCCTGAGTTACTATTCACGACAGATATCCTAACCAAGTGAAAGGTATGTTAACAGCTATTTTAATCAATGCCATGTAAGATCCAATATTGTCCTAACATAGGAAACAATTATTCTTTTTAATGCATAAAAAATTTACGACCACAATGTTGCACCCTGAGTCCGTATTGGCCACCACGAACAGTCCCCAATCTAAATCCCATAGAGAATTTGGGGGATATACGATCGTCAACTCAAAGAGCCGACAACCAACACAGAACACGCATCACGAAAATTATGAACAAGAATTTTTAGGGACGCAATAGATCAAGACTCACAATATTAATAAGATGAGACTTTTCGTGTTTATAATAACAATTTTCCACAGGGTGTAGCTACAATAGAAATGGAAAAAAAAAACTTAACTTTGGTTTTACGTGGAGAAAACTTAGGCATCGGGCATATACCACAGAAAACATTAGAAGCAGTAATTGGTTGAGAAAAAGACCCTATAATGTGAAATCAGACATCGAAATCCAATCAACGGTATCATAAGAAAAATATCTTCTCACAACAACAGTAATAAATACAGGTCGTCCTGGTAATTTGGAGAGTAGTGTGATTTGTAAGTGTTTGTACAATTAAAGAACACCATATGCGAACGGATATTTCCATTAACAGGAAAGCATTCACAAATTTGTATGTTTTTCATTAAAAATTGGTGTTATTTATAAAGACAAAAGTACGAAAAAACTATATCTTTTGAACAAGTTACTGTTATAGGATTTCATTAATCATTAAAACAAATTAGGAATTGGAGCCAGAACGTCCAGTACGAACTAAATGGAATGATCTATAATAAAATAACCAATTGAACATGCATACGACCAGTTATAATAAACGGCTTCCTAAACAAAGTCAGATTTAAATTTTCGAAATATCCGCGGACAGTTGTTTATAAGTAGAATTTGACTGCTTTCCAATTGAAAAAGTTGTGGAAAATTCAGTAATATTATCTATTACATATCAGCAATACTTTCCCAGATATTTAGGAGAGGAAGAAATGATAAAAACAAGTGGTCTGTCCCTGAATTCCCATAAACTTATTTAAAGCTGGAGCATAATACAATTCTAGTTGTATAATTATTCCTTCCGAAGATTATTTTACAAAAATCTAACATCCGATTCACTCAAAGCAAGCTGTGGTTTTCTGAGACCGTCTACAGGAAACGAGCGAAATGAGGAATAAATCCGCAGCGGAATATTCTAATTGTTAAGGTGGTTTCTTAAAAACAACGATCTTCAATGAATTGAGTTAGTCGAAGAAGATATTACAAAGAGAAAAGTATGTTATTAGCGGAAGAAAGAAGAAGAGACAATGATTAATGCTGCAAGTTAAAAAAATAAATGAAACAAACTAATTATTTTTTATTCAACCAGCGCTAGCGGAAGAAAACCGTCTTCCATTTTATTTCTTTAAAGCAATGTCAATATATTTTTTTAATTAGAAGTGATAAAGCGCAATATACTGTTTGACAGGTCAATTAACAGCTCACCAGTACAATGAAAACTTTGAATAATTTTTCTCACACACACACACACGCAACTGTATATGGAGATTTTAATATCGAATAACATTTCGTTTTTTCGTCAAAATTTAACGGGACAGCGAAATTTCCGTTGCCTGACAAGAGCCGAAATTTAAAGAAATCGCCACTATATCAATTATTCACCCTGAATCAACTGAAATCGGCTGCGTTCGGTTTCTGCTGACGGAGTCTTCTAGGAAACCGCAGCTTTATGCCATTTTTGTACAGATCATGACTGGACTAATAGTGGACTAATCAAAAATAACGGCAGGTAGCAAAGTCCAGTTGTGTTTTTTTGTCACACAGTTTATCCTTCACCAGTAACCTACATTTTGTAATGTAGTTAGCTAAAGAACTTTAGTTAATGAACGTTAATGATTAATCCATTACGTATTAGGTTAGTTCCTTATATATTTTGGATTTTTCATATCCTCTGAAAATAATGTTTGTATGATGTCTACATAAAAACTTCTATTTTTCAGAGATAAAGAAAAATCTAAAGTGTAAGTATATCATACCTACTTTTATATTATAAAATAAAAATAAATGATTTATATGATCAAAAGAGACCAAAAATTTAAAATATTGTAAAAAGTAGGGATGTCCCAACATGTTTAATCTTCGTTTTAATTTAATCATTAACTTTGTATTGCTGATTAATCCATTAATAGGTCAATTTAAGTTAGTTTTTTATTCGGTATAACCGTATAGACTAGTTTGACAGTTGAAATGTGTAGTATGAGATACTCAAAAACACACACCTAGGGATTCATAAGTTTTTAGTGGAACAATTTTTAAATAAACAATCAAAACGTCAAAACTCATTGTTTTGATCGCAACTTAGAAAATTTCTATTAAAAGATTTGACGTCAACAGACAACTGTATCAGAAAAAAGATACAAAAGAAAAGTCAAGGAACTTGTAGCAAACAAAATTATTGAAAAGTGTTATAACAAGAGTTTTGAAAACAGGAGTACTTTGCATTCCGACTAGAATAAAAGGAATGGGGGTAGCGGACTCAAAGACCAGCCGCGCTCTTCAAAAAATCCAACACAGTTTCAAAATACAGCGTTCAGAAAAAATTGCATATCTCAAACATTTATCGTATTGTCATCCAAAAATTATCCATAACAAAGCAGTAAATTAAATATAATAGTAGCGGTAATTAAATTATTACAAACAATATTATCACTCTTATTAAATTTTAACAAATCAGTTTAGTAAAGTAATAAAAAAATTATTTTTAGAACAAAAAATCGTATTTATAACATACAAATTATAAGAAACTTTTTAAAGTTAAAATTCATTAATTTAATTTGTATGCCTCACATATTTATTATATTCTAGGTAGTATTGGCGCACTGGCTAGGAAAAATATTCCAATTTCATATTTTTGCATTATCTTACCAAAAATAGTCATCTTATAACAAAAGTGCATGTTGCCAAGATAAAATAATTGTCAAAAACAATTTTTTTAAACGAAAAATTATGAACAAAAATATTTGTGGTAACTTTTCACTTGAAACACATCGTTTTCGGGTTACAAACAAATTATAATTAATATTTTAAAGTTTAGCAAACATGAAATTAAACCTAACACGTCATTTTATAAGATCCCGAAGAGTTTTAACGATAACTTTATAGTAACCCAGTGATTTTTTATTTGTTAATTTCATATATGGTGTCGAAATCACGTTGTAATTTCTTAAAATATAATAAAATATATAAATATATTATTTTTTGTTTTAAAAAACTATTTTTTTAATACTACAAAACTGATTTGTTTAAATTTATAATAAGAGTATATGAAAAATACAAGTAACATTGTTGACTGCCAGCCTCTTTTTCCCTGAACTGCCAAAGAGTCATTTGAGTACCCCATATGGTACTCAGTCCAGAAGATAAGTTCCAATATTGAGGGCCATATATGATACTCAGTATAACTTACAAAACTGCATGCCGTGTCCCTAAGCAGGCACTCTGCTTGTATATTTTATATGAAGAAATTGAAGTTTTGGCCTCAGAAAACCGTTCCCTGATTTTAGCCTTTGGCTAGATGTTATACTCTTTGTATGAAGGTCGTTTATCAAAGTGTAATAAAAACGGTTTTTTAGCTTAAATATTTATTTAACAAATAGCGTAACTCTAAAAACGGTACAAAAAAATAGTCGACAACTTAAGATATAATGCTAATAAAGAAAAATTACTGTAGTTTGGCAGAATGCACCTTAAAAAGGCAGTTAGAACACAAATATTTCGCGCAAGCAAAACACTTTGTCCACACACGGGGAGTCTCCTTTTGTGCTGTTTGTCTTCCATGCCTGTTAACAATATCCCTATTATAGCATTGGTTGCAGCAGTTTCTTTTTAGACATTTTACTAAATTGTCTAAAATTATTAGCAGGCATTACACATTCCTTATATATCCAGGCATTATACGAATTAATTTGATCCGATACATCTATGAAGGATTTTCCTGCATTTTATTCTAATATAATCTGTGGTTTAAGTTTGTCTTCTCTTCTTTGTATAACATTGACCATAGAAGGCATATGCTTCGAACTTACAGCAAGCTCATCTCGCCGATCCTTCCACTTTAAAACCATTCCATTATAATTTTGCTTGCATCAATATCACCTTTTGTTAGTTTTATTTTAGTTACATCAGTTGGATTGCGTTTCCTATTGGCCCGAAGTGTTCATACTAAAAACGTTTGTCTATCCAGTAATGTTTCTGCCAAAATTATACCAGTTGTCCGCATATAGTGTTCTACCAAAATCTAAATATGGCTCCATTAATTCCATAACCATTTTAGAGGATACAGATGTACCAGGCTGAGCTTCCTTTCCAGCATAAACTTTATACTGCAAAGTGTAAAAAGGCTCGGTACACAACTTAAAAATTTTAACCCCATACCGATGATTACACAGTGATTAAACTTATCCACTAGCAAGTCAATAAGGGGCTGAACCTTATGATGCCGATCTCCAGGAACCTGTGTTGAATTATCCGAAATATGAAACATGCTGAAAATAATTCTATATTTTAGTAATTAAAACCTAAAATATAAAATGTTATAATAGTACCTCAAAATCAACTCAAATCGGTTTCTCGCCATGTAGTCATGTCAGTTTGCTATTATATAACTGTGTTTTTTCCAATAATGAGCCGGAGAGGGCATATCTACTAAACCCATCCACATAAGTATGCATAGAAAGGTATGCATTTCCTGTCGATTTGTCAGTATCCAGTTTTTAATTCTTGCACTCCTCTTTATATTGGGTTTTCCAAGACATTGTTGAGCATAATTGTTTGTTCGATTTACTAACAAGGATAACACTTTTTCATCAAAAAACAAACAAAAGAAATCAAAAGAGCTGGCATCTTGCATTGTTTCCGATAGATCGGGGTTTACACCTACTTCTTTGGAAATCATATTATAATTTATATTTTTAATCCTTTGCTGATCAGGTATTTGTCAATTTTCAGATATGGGAATATTCTCAGGTGCTGGTTCTTGCTCATTATTTAACTTTTCATTTCTCAAAACTTCATTTTCACTAATTTCAAACTCACTGTCCGAATCTTCACTGTCTAGTGCATACTCTGGGTCTGCATCAGTCATGAAACTCGGAAATAGACGATGATCCGCTTTGTGATTCTACAGTCTCAAAGAAACGCTAATCTCTTCTCTTATGATAATGAATTCATTATTACAATATTTACAATCGCGACTGTATCGAAAAGCAACAACAGATAACTAAACTACCTGTTAGAACTTGCAAAAAGCTTTTTCTATATTTTCCAATACTAATAGGATAGATATCTATCGTTAGCAACCCAAAATATTACCAATTTTAGTTTACAGAAATCTGCAGGTGGATAAATAATAGAATATAGTATTTTATTGTATGTACCAGAGGTGGCGCTCATGCTCATCTGAGAAAAACATCACTCGTGGGGCCATGAGTACCCAACATGGGTACTCAGGTTAAAAATGGTGTGAAATACTTAAAAAGATATTAATTAACCCCCAAAAGGTTCTTACAAAAGCCTAAATTAAAATAATAAATAAAAATCGTCATTGCCTCATGGGTCAACATGCTCTAGAAGAGCTGTAGCATAAATGGCAAGTTAGCTGCCGTTTAAACATTTTTTATATATAAAACAAACCGATAGAAAATATATGGTCTCAAGTAAAGGGTGAAGTCAGACGCAACAACAAAACTTTTGAATTAGACTTACAACAATTATTAGAACATTCCTTATCAAAAGTAACTCCAGAAAATTGGAAAAAAGCTGTTAGTCATGCTCACAAGCAAGAAAATAAAATGTGGAATTTGGATAATATGACTGATGCAATGCTGGAACCGATAATAATTAACATTGGAGTTGAAGATTCCTTAGATTCTGAAGAAAGCAGTGAATCTGAAATGGAATTTGATTAAAATAATATTGATTTTTTTACAAATCGGCCACAAATTATTTTATATATAACCAATAAAATAAACATCTTACATTTCTTGCAAATTCATTAGTACCTGTTAATCTCCATCACTCCGACACTGGCAACTTTATTTAGGGATTAGTAACCCTCAAAACTATTGTATTCTACTCTGATTCAGCCTTTATACCTGGTGGTCATACTCAATTTAAAATTGTTTTCTTATATACTTCTGTAAGCTTGTTGACAAATATCTATTTTTCATTGAGTCAGCCGTATCAACAGTTTAGGGATTTGCATACATAATGTGCTATCAATATGATGGAAATGGACTATAATAATTTTGTTTACCAAAAGTGACTTTATTTATAAAATATGGTTAATTTCAGTCCTTTAATGTTGTTAATTAACGTAACAGTGATTAAAAAAAGTGCTATCTTCTCAGTTGCAGGACATTTTCCTCTTTTTTTTTTTTCATTTGTGTTTCTCAACCAGAATATTCTTTAGCTATTTAATTGGAATTCAATTCTACGGAGTTCTCGAGCTCGTTCTCGAGCTTAAAAAGTGCTTTTAATTAATTTTTTTTCCATAGGTTATTAGTATACATCTTAACCTTCCAGCGGTCGCGGCCTTTTTACCAACAAGAATGGTCGCGCGTATTTCCTAGATACGCTAAATACTAATTATTATAGTTATTTTAAGATGTAGGTAATGAAATATTGTAATATTAATACAAAATATATTTGGTGGAAGAACGGTGTCATAAATCCCAGATGTCTCCTAGATATTGCACATTACACATATTGTATCGCAGTTTTGCAGTCTTGACAAATGTGCTTTGAATGTTCCATAGAGATAAATTTCTAACAAATTTCACAGCTGAAGCGCGTAATCCTTGAACATTTATCATTTTGACAAGGCTTACATCTTCTTTTACTTGCTGTGGCCTCCTCTACTGTCTGGATGCCTAATTCTGCTTTTCTTTTTGAAATTTTTTCTTTGAACTCATTTTGAAGGAAGTATTGTGTTCTTCGTTCGACGTGTCCTTTCACAAGAGCGTTTGAAATTAGTCGAAGGTATTTTCGCTAAGTATTTTTTAGTTATTATTGGTGGAATAGATTATATAACTATTGATCTCGGCTACATTTAGCATGGAAAAAAATACCACCATCGGCCATCTTCCGGTGTTCCTGGCAACATTGTAAGAAGCACAAAGTTTGTGTACTGTATCTACACCTCCCTTTGTCTTGTTATAGAATGTTATAATCTCGGGTTTCTTTTGGTCACCTGTTTCTGCGTCGATTGCTGCGTCATCATGTAGACTTGAAACTAATATTACGTTTTTATAGCGCTTAGGCACGTAGGAAACAAGAGTCACGTCGTTCCGAAACCCAAAAATACTGGTATTGGGCTCACGCTTTTTTGTAACTTTCAATTCATTGGGAATTTGGGCCTGTTTTTCATCATTCCTACAAAGGCATTTTTTTTCTCATCAAGATCTTTTATCAAATCAAATTCAGAAAACCAGTGGTCAGTGTTCTCTCCGTATTAAATATAGGTGTTGCCAACCTTTTTACCACGTCTCGTGATTTGTTACTTATGGAGAATGGGCCATCTGGTTGAGTCCCTGCATAAATTTCCATGTTATAAGTGTAAAAGATGCGAGCGTCATCCATGGCATGGCATTTTGATCCCATATTTATTGGGTTTTTGGGAATGTACTGAATAAAAGAGCATCTTCCACGAAATGCCTCTAGTTTCTCGTCAATTGTAACATTTTTCCCAATTGAATACCTTTTTTGGCAATTAGACGCAAACTCCTCGAAAATATTCCTTATTGGGACCAAGCGATCCATTCTTTTACGTTCTACTCTCGTAGCTATGCCATCAAAACGTAATGCTCTCATTAAAAAATAGAAATCTTCTCCAACTCATCACTGTTTTGAAAAGATCCATTCTCCATAGTTCTTCAAGGTTAACTCGATTACCATGGTAAATGCTCGTCAAATAAAGCAAGCCCAAGAGGGCTGTCATTTCTAGTTTGTCTCTATCCCTGGCATCTCTTGGACGACAATAATTCGATCTTACAGAACTTATGTACTTATTTGTGAAGTTTGCGATGCTCTCAATCATAGAATCAATGAGGCACTTCCAAGTATCAACGATGTCTGTAAGATTCTTAGCTGGTCCAATGACCCTAGGGAGACGGAGTAATATATTGGGAGGTGGTCGCTTACGTTTTTTGTTTAGATTTTTTTGCCAAATCCATCAGTCGAAAACTTTTCCATTTTTCTTTAAATGAGCTATACAAGCCTCGTTGGAACTGTCAGCTTCGTCTTCGGCATTACTACAATCACTCAATTCGGACTCAGAATCGTCACCACGTTCTGAAACATGTTCCTCTTCGTCTGTATCGCTATCATCCATACGTATATCGTCATCCGACTCAGCAAACTTCAAATTTGTAACAGCTTCTATATCAGTGGGATCATTACTTACTTACTTACTCCGTGGCGTTACAACCCTTCGTGGGTTTTAGCCGACTCGACAACATGCCTCCACTGTTTTCTGTCTTGAGCAACCTCCATCCAATTCTCCACGCCCATAGTGCTTAGGTCTCCTGCTATATTATCTCGCCACCGGAGACGAGGGCGTCCGCGTGGTCTCCTTTCAGTTGGGACTTCCTGCCACACCAGTCTTACTGTTCGTTCGTCAGAATGTCTTCTGAGGTGTCCTGCCCATTGGAGTCTTCTGGACTTTATTTCTTTTATGATGTTGGCGTCTGGGTAAAGTTCTTCAAGCTCTTTATTAGTTCTTATCCTATATTGTCCTGATGCTTCATCAAGCACCGGACCAAAGATCTTCCTTAGGATTTTTCTTTCCCAAACACGTAGTCTCTCTTCATTTGCCTTTGTCATCGTCCATGTTTCGCTTCCATACATCACAACGGGTCGTATGATTGTTTTATAGACCTGTATCTTCGTACGTCGTGTTAGTTGTTTTGATTTTATAAGGTTTTGGAGGGCAAAAATACATCTGTTGCCGGCCTGAATCCTGTTGTTTATTTCTTGTGATCCGTTATTGTCTTCAGTTATTGTTGTTCCAAGATACTTGAATTCCCTAACGCGCTCAAAGTTAAAGTCATCGATGGTAATATTCTTACCGATTCTGTCTCTGCTTTGGTTATTGCGGCTCATATACATATATTTCATCTTGTTTTCGTTGATTTGGAGCCTCATCTTCTCTGCTTCCTTCTCAAACCTTACGAAAGTCTCCTTCATCCTTAATCGCGTGTTTCCTATTAGATCTATATCGTCTGCAAATGCCAGTAGTAAGTTTGGTCCTTCTCGATGAAATACTGTATTCGGTTTTTCGATTCTTGCACTTCTGATTATGTGCTCCAGAGCTAAGTTGAAGAGTTGTGGTGAAAGTGCATCTCCCTGTTTTAGTTCATTGTTTATTTCAAATGTCTCAGAGTATTGTTGTCCAACTCTCACCTTACATCGTAACCGTTCCATACACATCCGTATCAACCGGACTAGTTTTTTTGGAAAGCCAAGTTCCTGCATCGCTGTCCACAGTCTGTCCCTACATACTCTATCAAATGCTTGTTTAAAATCTATGAACATCTGATGAAGCTCACGATCAAACTCCCAGCATTTTTCCATTATCTGTTTTATTGTGAATATCTGGTCAATTGTAGAGCGGCCCGGTCTAAATCCGCATTGATAATCTCCAACAATTTCTTCTGTGTATGTTTTGGTTCTTTTTAGCAGGATGTTTGCAAGGATTTTGTAGGTGGTGTTTAGGAGTGTTATTCCCTGTAGTTAATACATTGCTTTTTGTTTCCTTTTTTGTGTATTGGTACAATAACCCCTTCTTTCCATTCATCTGGCATTGTTTCTTCTTGCCAAATGCCTTGAATTAGCTTGTATATCGAACTGTACAATGCTTCTCCTCCATGTTTTAAGCACTCTGCGGGTATACCATCGCTACCTGGTGTCTTATTATTTTTGAGTTTTTTAATTGCCTGTATTACTTCTTCGTATGTCGGGTATTGGTCTTCTATTTCAGCTGTATGTACCTCTATGTTTGATGTACTTCTGCTAGATTGGTCATTCAATAGTTGATAGAAGTATTCCTTCCAGGTTTTTAAGATTTCCTTGTCATCAGTGATAAGCTGTCCACTGTCGTTTTGAAGAAAGTTTCCTGTTCTTGCTTGGTACCCGGTCTTGATATCTGAAACTCCTTTAAAGAACTGCCTCGTTTGTTTGTTCTTTCTTTTTTCTTCTATTTCTCAGTGGGATCATTGATATTAAAAATCTTCTTATCCGCCATTTCTAAAATAAAATAAACAAAATGGAACTAATTGCCACAAATGGTCGCGTGTATATGAGAGATACACAGTATCTCTCATATACACGCAGATACAAGTAGAAAGTTTTCTACTTTGGTATAAGAGGTCTTTAACACAAAAAATGCATGAAATAGTAATATGTTATCAATATTACAATAAGCATAATGCAACTATAACAAAAACAGCAGATGTTATAAAGACTTACCTAAAAAGTTGCGCGTATATCTGAAATACAAATGCAAAATTCTCAGCAACATACTATCCCTTGAGAGGTTATTTGTGCACTGGAAGGTTGCTTTAGTAATGGAGTAGGAATAGCGAAAAGCACCCGATCGCAGCGTAAGTAATAGATATTATACTAAATCTATTACCCGTGTATCTACCACATACGTGCGACCGCTGGAAGGTTAACAAAGAAAATCAGTCAAATTATCTGGACCAGCCTTAGAACTAAGCTTATTTTTCCAAAAATCTTAGAAACAAATTAAATTTCTCAAAAGCTATTCTATCCATCTGGCTAATCTTTTGCACACACTTTAAAACATAAGTCCTTTAAGTTCTGGTACATTTTAAAAAAAATTTAATAAATAAAAAAAGTTATTAACAATATTAAAAAATAGCTATTTTGTTGACAAAGTTGTCTGTTGACGTCAAATCTCTAAATAGACTATCTCTTAAGTTTTTAAGTTACGAGCAATATAATGAGGTGCCGTTTTGATTGTTGATTTAAAAATTTCCACTAAAAAATGTATGAATCCTTAGATGAGAGTTTTTTTTGGTAATATGTCATACTACACATTTCAACTGTCAAACCCGTCTACACAGTTGTGATAAAAGGCTTATTTTTTACTAACTTGATTGGTCTATACATATTTTGTTGGTTCCTTATATATTTTGGATTTTTCATTTCCTCTGAAAATAATGTTTGTGTGATGTCTACATAAAAACTTCTATTTTTCAGAGATAAAGAAAAATCTAAAGTGTAAGTATATCATACCTACTTTTATATTATAAAATAAAAAAGACAAGATTTAAATGATCAAAAGAATTCAAAAATCGTTAGAATATTGTAAGAAGTATATCATGAAAATTTACCAAAAATCATTAAAATATAGTGAGGATTTTCCAACATTTTTAATCAAACTAGATTTTATGAAAAATTATGGAATTAGAAATAACCGCACCAAACATACATTAAAAATGTTTGAAATTGATTTCCCCAGTTTCAAGCTATTGTGGATTATTGAGTTATCCTCAAGTTATCTTGGGATGTACATATGTATTTTGTGTTTGAGTCTTGAGTATGTATGTGTGCGCGATTGTTCATATGATGATGTGTGCCATTTTCAAGCAACGAATCGACGGTTAATAATATAGCTGCAGTCTCTATGCCATGTTCTCAGTTGATCCACGGTTGTTTATTTGGATATACGTTATTCACAATGGAAGCCATTGGGACGCGTATTTTGTAGATGGGAACTTCTCCATCCAGTCTGGTCTAGTGTACTGAAGGACTCTAATTCAGAGCATTTAGTTTGTAATATAAAATTATTTCTTCCGGGAATTTCGTCTGCAATTGCGGCTGGCAATGTTAAGAATGGAGTTGTTTTCCGGACGTGCTTCAGCTGATTACTTATTGAGAAGAGAGAATTTAGCGTCCAACTACCATCCGTCCGGAAGACAACTCCGACCGATGCTGCACCGCCTATCATAATGTCTATCACAGTTACAGACGAAACGTTCGAGAGAAATAATGTCAGACCGAGGTCTATAGAACCGAAAAACAATGCATATTTAGAAAATATGTTAAATTAAATGCTAGACAAGTAGACACCAATAAAACATTACTTTGTTGCTTAAGGGACTATTTGTAGTTTTAAGCTGAATCTTTAGTGCAAGTTGACTGTCTATTATTCTGCTTAACGTGTTAACGAATCTTTCAGAGGAATATTGATAGTGTTAGGACAATTATTAACCTCTACTCCTTCAGTTGTTTTTAACCAACCAGTGTGATATGTAGGAGCATCTCTTATGATGTTAACTCACTCGTTTATGCTGATATTTAATGCTCGAAATCTTGTTTTATAGAAGTTAACTCTCCTAACAAAATAAAACTTGGTTTTTGTTAGCTATTGCACTTCGTTTGTCTTCTTCTCCTTTTATAATGGCGCTACAACCCTTTGTGAGTCTTGGCCTGCTTAACAATGTTCTTCCATTCCTGCCTGTGGGACACGTTTCTTCGCCACTGCCTGATGTTCATGGTTTTAAGATCCCTCTCTACGTCGTCTATCCATCTTTTACGGGGCCTTCCTCTTGTTCTGTTTCCTTGGGGCTTCCATTTCTGGACTACTTTTACAGTTCGATTATCTGGCATTCTTTTTAGGTGACCAAGCCAGTTTAGTCTTTGTGACTTTAATCTAACAATATCTGCGCTCTGCGTTAGTTCATCCAGCGCGTGGTTCATTTTAATTCCCCACGAACTATCGCTGCATTGGGGTGATCCAAATATCTTCCTTAGTATTTTGCGCTCAAATATTCTCAGTTGATTTTCATCAGTGGTTGAGGGGGTCCACGTTTCACATCCATATGTGACCACTGGTCTAATTATTGTTTTGTAGGTTCTAAGCTTAGACTCATGATTCAGTAACTTACTTTTCATTTAGTCTTTGTGTGCATAAAAGCACTTATTACCGCTAAGAATCCGTGCTTGTATTTCTTGATTGATGTTGTCATTTATTATTGAGCCTTGAGCACTTCGTTTGTATTAAGTGAAATATTTATCAATCTGTAGAATAATCCTGGGAATCTTCTATAGGCAGATTTGAAAAAATTGAGTTGCAAGTGTAACTAGATTCGACACTGAAATTTCAATGGCAAATAGAATTGGGGAGCTAAAATTTGAGTGTAAAAACTGCTATTGGTCTAGATTTTAAAAAATCCATTATATTACATTGGATGACCATTGAATTAAACTACTTAAGATGTTCCTACAGAGTGTGCAGAATTCTAATTAATGAAATTCGAAATAAAAAAAATATTGCATTGCATATTTCAGAATCATACACCGAAGTATAAACTAATGTATTTATTGAGAATATTTTTGACAAAGTTTGACCTGGGTCTAATACTATACGCCTTAAATTAGACAACAGTCCAAAGAGTAGCACCATAAATATTCTCCGCCACAATAAAGACATAAACTGTTTAATCGGCAAGCAACGCAACGTTATGCCTTCATTTGCTTAAAAAAGACTTTGCATTCAGAATAATTCACCTGTACTGAATTGCAGTAACCACAATTCGTGAATTGTATTTTGAAAAGATATAAAAAAGATGATTTTATTCTGATTCTGAGATATCGTTTAAATAGTTATTACCAGAACTTTCTTTCTTTTTTTAGTCAGATGGTTATTGAAAAATCCTCATATAGCGTTCCATATATCGTTTGATGGCCTTCTTGCTGAATAATCAGTATTAACATGATCTTCTTATGTATCAACCAAAGAAAAACTTAATCTTTCGCATTCAATCATTACTTCTTACAGTATTTCTTTGTCACGATAATTTTTTTAAATGTTTTATTTCTGTAAGCTAATAAAAATTTTTTACAGATCCAGAGTCTCAAGATCAAGGAACAAATCTCCGGAACCCGTCGAACCTAGCAGTGAGGTACCAAAATCATCCCGCTATTATGAGGATAGGTATCGAGAAAGAGAGAGAGAAGGTCGACGAGAGAGCGATCGCGAGAGAGAAAGAGATAGAAGAGGGGAAGACAGCCATAGGTCTCGACATTAGCATATAGTTAGCGGTTCACAGAAACAACAACAGACAAGTTATAGTTGGAGTTTAAAGAAAGATTATCATATTTAGAGATAGATTTTATGTGATGTTACTATACATGAATTTAAACAGGTTTAACAGGTAATATGCAAGTTAAAAAGAACAAAGAAAAAATTCGCTAACTCATATTTTGCTACTTGTTTCGTTTTGCAATGGAACTTCTGACTATCTTAAGTATATTCATATTCAAAGAAAACATTTGCCTGTTTATTGTTGTATTAGTAAATCATTGACTATAATATTGCGATAAATGTTAGATATTTTGCTTCATGGCGTTCTACTTTTGATGTACAAGTTTCACATATTTAGCTTTAAGCAAACGTGACTTACTAACAATATATAAATGATGTAAGAACAAAGTTAAGTAATGAATATACCACAACATATTAGTTTTTCAACTAATGAGTCCTTACTCTATATCCTTATTACTATTTTTTCAGTTTTTTCCTGTAGTAGTAGAACTTGTTTTTGCAAAATGAATTTATTGTTTAGGCTGTGCTATGTTAACGTTGGCTCGGCTATTACTCTGTTAAAAAAATATTTTTTTAGAGAATTCTTTACATAAAAAAATCACAGGAGGGCGATGAAAGCTTCTATTGTTATGTACATTTTGGTAAATCGGGAAACTTCTAAATGATAAATAACTTTAGACAACTGGTTGTTTCTGTGAGCTGTATTTTTTCACATTTTTTATGTAATCATACATAAGTAAATCATGTATCGTATAGTTGATAAGTACAATATAGATGGAAGTCGAGTTTTGTTTTTTGTGTGTAATATATGGATCTAAATCATGTATCTTTTAATAAGATGATGTTTCAGCATACAAGGAATAATTTGTGTAATAAATTGAATACTATTCATAATGTGTTGTTAAATTCTTACAAAAAGTCATGACAATTTGAAGGCAATTGGCCACAAACCACTCCCCTACAGTGCATGTAAATGTAACTCCAGTCTGATAGAAGCCTATTAGAAACATGGATATAAACTTCTCATTTTCATCGATTAAAATATATTTTGTAGGGCTTTTTAAATTTTTACAAAACTGTAAATGATGTTCCAAACGCATCTTTGATGGATTCGCCGGTTACTTGATGGAAGTTCATTTTATTAAAAATAAAGCACTGAAAATTGATCATTTCAACACTTGCATATGCATATAAACTGATGCAGCAGAGAACAACCCGAGAAAAACAGCAAAAATATAAAGATCTCAGAAAAGAAGAGAAATGCATTCATAGAAGGAAAAATCGAACTCACGAAAATACAATATTGGAAGAACTTGAGGTATTAAAAAAGGAAAACCAAACAAGAAAATTCTACAAAACTCTGAATAACGCAAGAAAGGAATTCAAACCAAGGCTCAGACTATGTAAGGATAAGGAGGGGCATATACTAAATACAAAAGAAGAAGTACTGAAAAGGTGGGTGGAACACTTTAAAGAACTACTTACTATAGAAGTAGAAGATCCAGATCCAAATCAACCACCCGCAGGAGCAAGCAACAATTCACCATTAGAGCCTCCGTCAATTCAAGAAGTACGAGATGCAATAAAACAACTAAAAAGCAATAAATCTCCAGGAATTGATGGTATAGCCGCGGAACTTATTAAATGTGGAGGTGCTACTGTGACTAATCAAATATATAAAATAATACTGAGAGCCTGGAATGAGGAACAAATCCCGGAAGAGTGGTGTATTGGAATCGTTTGCCCGCTACACAAAAAGGGTGACCAATTGGAATGTAGAAACTATAGGGGAATAACCCTCCTTAATACAGCATACAAAATATTTTCGAGGATCTTATATGGTCGCCTAAGTGCATATTCAGAGGAACTTCTCGGGGAATATCAAAGTGGCTTTAGACCTGGTCGATAACAACAGATCAGATCTTTGTGCTAAGGCAAATACGGGAAAAAACAAATGAATTTAATATCGATACATACCATCTTTTTGTAGACTTCAAATCTGCCAATGATAGTGTCCTAAGAAATAAATTGTATAAAGCCATGAATGAATTCCACATCCCCGATAAACTGATATATTTGGTTTGCAAAGTCGAAATACAGGGCGAACAATCACAAGCGTTTGGAACGCATGTTGGGCTGCGACAGGGAGACGCGCTGGCGTGTCTCCTTTTCAAAAGGCGATCAGAGATGCCCGAATAGACAACAGGAAATATTTTTAATAAATCATCCCAAATTTTGGCATATGCAGATGATGTGGACCTAGTTGCCCGCACAACACGCAAGCTAGAAGAAATGTGTACCACCTTCTCAAATGCCTCAAAATCTATGGGCCTGCAAGTAAATGAGGAGAAAACTAAGATGATAGCATCAACACCCAACAATAGAGTCAGGAACATCGGTCCCCAATTCACGGTTGATAACTCTACCTTTGAAGTGGTGGACAAATTCACATACTTAGGCTCCCTGATCACCAAAGAGAACGCCATAACAGAAGAAATCAAGCGAAGGATAATAATGGCAAACAGATGCTATTTTGGACTGAGTAGACATATGATAAGTAGAAACTTAAGCCAAAAAACAATAAATATATACAAAACCCTTATACAGCCAGTGTTGACATATGGATCGGAGACATGGACCATCTCCAAGGCAGACGAAGACCTGCTTATATTTGAACGAAGGATCCTGAGAGGAACATTTGGTGGCATCTGTGAAAATGGTGTTTGGAGGAGATAACTACGAGGTATACCACAGATATAAACAAATATTTGGCGGTAAAGACGTAGTATGTCTTATAAGAATAGGAAGACTAAGATGGGCAGGACATCTAGCAAGATCACAGCAGAATAACCCTCCTAGAAGAATCCTTATGTCACAACCTGTGGGAAGTAGAAAAAGGGGTAGGCCAAAACTCAGATGGAAGGATGGTGTAGATGAGGATGGTAGAAAGATAAGCGCAGCAAACTGGCAACGGTTGGCAGTGGATAGGACTGCCTGGCGTAATAGACTTGGGAAGGTCGAGGCTCTTTCATAGGGCTATAGTACCATTGATGATGATAAACGTAGAATGAAAGATTACATTATTACCAAGGGCCGAAGGTCCCTGAAAACTTCTATAGAAGAGAAAATTAAGTGTAATTTTTAATTTCAAATATCTCATTCAAAAGAAACTTTTTGTTTATTCTAAGGGACTTTCGGCCCTCGGTAATAATGTACTCTTTCATTCTGCGTTTAAAGCTTTCAAAAATACTTAATAGTTTTTTCAGGATTCGAAAAAAATAAATGCATTTAAAAAGCATTTGCTCGAAATTTTGCGCCTACACTCTTAAGGAAAGCAAGAACCAAGAGAAAAAGCAGAGTGGTGTATACAAAGTAACATCTAATGATTGTTAAAAACTAACATAGGTCAAACTGGTAGACCCTTTAACAAACATAATAGCAAAACACAGGGTTTTCAATAATAGAAAAACATGTTTCTACGTACGCACTCCCCCCTTCTAAATTAAAATCATTCTTTTAAGGACCAATTTCAAATTGTCCATATTCAAAATAAAGTACTTTCTATCTTTATTAGAATGTATGAAAATTAATAAATTAAAAAATACAGATGGACAACTTTCTGCCGAACAGGACCAACCCACAAATGGCTCAAACAGAAAAAAAAATGCAGCTCATTTAATTTATTTTATGAAATTTCATAATAAGTGAGTTAATACATGTAATGCAAAGAATACAAAAAATATATTTCCAAAACTGCTAATGTGTCATGGTTTCATTTTTAAGTTCATAATCAAGATGGCCACTACATCCCTCAATATCGTCAGTTATTTCAGTCTCCATTGAAATGTTTGTAATACTCTTGAGCATAACCTGGTATTAAATGCATGACACACTTTGTCTTCTAATTTTGGAAGAGAAATAGGCTTCTCGTTAGGCCACATTTTTATAAATTAATGGCTCAAATTATTGGTTACTGCTGGCGTTTCATGTTTTTTACCGATGTTAAAGTTTATGATGCAGACGAACAAGCAAAAATAAACACAAGAGCTAGATCCCGAGAACATCTAGATCTAATAAAGGGAACGTTACTGAAGAAAAAACAGACTACACAGAATTATCACAACAGATCCTTGGAAAATAATAAAATATATTGAGAATTAAATTCTGAACCTACACTTAAATATATAAAGAAGGTAAACTAGTACAGAATCACGAAATTTTGCAACAACAGAGGAAGAAATTACACAAAGATTAGGACAAACAAGAACAGCAATCCGACAACTTAACTCATTATGGTGGGATAGACACCTAAATGTGAAGACAAATTTATAAAACATTAGTGCGAAAGTATTATGACATATGGGGCTGAAAATTGGTTTATAAATAAAAAAACAGCAGTAAGATAGTAGCAACAGAGATGAAATGCCTGCGGAGAAGCTGCAGAGTAACAAGAATGGATAGGAGAAGTAATGACGAAATAAAGCAAAGAACAACAATAGAAACAGACATACTAACATATATAGAACAAAAAAGACTAAAGTGTTATAGACATGTAAGAACTAGCGACAGGAGAGCCGGAGCCCCATAGGAAGGAGGAAAAGAGGACGACCCCGAAGATCCTGGAATAACGAAGTAGACGACGCCATGAGTAAAAGAGGCCTAAACGATGGACAAAGGGACAACAGAGAGGGATGGAAACGGTTGAGCGAGGGAAGGCAGTGAACTGTAGAATCCCTGAATATATATATATATATATATATATATATATATATATATATATATATATATAATGCTCGTCTACTCACGTTTTTAGGTTTTCGTGCAACACTAACTTTATTAAACAGGTACATCACTTTTATTAATTTACTATGGTGAAAATACTCGTATAAAACTGCGAATATATCGGAGCTGAAATTAAACACACTTTGTGGTTCGGAATCAGGCCCGATATAGATTTTCATAGCTAAGAAATAATTCTTTTTC